ATAGTATAAATTATAGTAACTGCATGATACTATATAATATTATTGTGTATAAATGTATAATTGAAAGAAACGCGTTTTTTAATAACTGAACAGTAGGTAAATGTGTGTAAATGGGTATTTAGAAAACTATCATTATTCTAATACTGTCGTGGTGGGCAGGTACAAATGTAATAACAGAAATGCGAGGTATATTATATTATTACGATACAAGTTGATAAAATAGTTATTAAGTGCATTATACGTATTTGATACTATAATATGCGTAGACTGTACATATTATTTATACAAAACCACGTAATATATTATACACACATAGCATGAATTTAATTACACTAAGTGGAGCATAGTTAAAAACTAAAAATTAAATTCTACTACTTCATATAATAATTTATGTTAGCAGTTACCAATGCGCCAGTTCTACGCACCGTGTGTCGCACCGGTATGTTTAGATAACGTGGTCGGTGGTCGCGTTGGGTTTGTCGTGCAAAATAATAATCGAATTTCTAGTCATTTTTCTATCAGTTGTATTCATGTAACTATTTATGGTATCTCCTACAGCAAAGCCATGTTTGTAAATATCAATACATAATATTTTATTTTTCTATAAGTAATGTTTTTGAAATTAAGTTATCGAGAAAGTTAATAAGGTTGGTACTTAAAAATATCAACAAAAAAATTACTTGTTTCACTTTCATAATACTGTAGATTCTGGAGATAATACATTTAGGAAATTAGAAGAAAAAATATTTACTTGTGTAATTTTAAATTTTAAAATACAATCTTAACTGTTTATCGGTATTATAAAAATTTAAATATTTATTTTAGTTTAATTGTTTTCTTCTTCTTTAATAATATTTATAAGCTTATCACAACAGTTCAAACTCAATAATACGATATCGTATAGTGATATATTTTTTTAATTTTTGAAATAAACTGTATTTTGTTCTTTAGTTTATCATGAATTAACAAAATATTAAGTTATGTAAATATAAACACAATAATTAAGATATTGTTGATATAAAATAACTTCTGGGAATTTCCTAACAACATCAATATAACTATAAAACACGAAGCTGAAAATGTGACATGGTTAATAGCATTATTTCAATATTTTAATTGCCCAATTATTAATTTTTACAGAATTTTAATTAAACAATTGTATATAGCCATATAGGTACTAGGCACAACTGTATGATGGCATTTAAATGAGAGGTATAACAATACTATTATGCAAAGTGGGCGGGAACAAACACTATGGTACACTATGTGACTATTAATCATTTAGTGGTAGAGATGGATTGCAATATCCATTTAGGCATGAAGATTGCACGAATGTGGTTGTGGTAAAATACGAATTAACATAAAAAATTAAATATTATTATTATTATTATTGCCGCTTTTATCATCCTCGTCACGCGTTTTTTTTTATACTTAATAGGTATAACATACCAACTCATATCATTATGATGTACCTACACAACATTGCTCAAACGAACGTCAACGAGATACATAATAATATATAATACGGACAAAGCGTTAATACAGCTAGTGAACAGCGATTATTTAATTTTACTGACGACTCCGCAACGTATTAATATAATAATAATATGATAGTTTTAATACGGGTTTAATAAATGCAACCGATATTTTAAAGCCGAAATCACACGTTACGGTTGCAGATAACRTGGAGATAACAGCCATTATTTATGTTGGCTGATACAGCGTTTCGTTAATCCGCGTTTGTGGGGTTTTGTTATTTCGTATTTTAATATTATACACCCAGTCTGTAAAACAATAATATAGTACAGATATTGTTATTATTATTATAATCATTAAAATCGTCATCTCCCACGTGATTTACATTTATCATCATTTCAAAAACACGTCCCTACAATAGCGTCCCCCACAAATGATTCGAAAACATTTTTATTTTTTAAATATAATATTATTGTAGGTACTATACCTTATTAATCCTACTATTTTTTCTTTTCGTGGCATATAATAACGCCAGTCCTAGAATTATTGTTTACCACTGCCTTTTCTGCTGCGGCCCAAGGACGTCGAGCGAGACATCCKGTCGTCCTGTCGTGTACGAAGATGACATTTTTTTTTACAAAGCCATTTTCCTCCGTCATGYTTTGATCATGAGTCGCGGTACGATGATCAACGAAACTACGAAACACAGTATGACGAAAACGATAAATTTCACGAATATTTCGCCAGCGATCATTTTGGTGTTACTGCAGTCGATAATGTTTAAAACAACAGTTTTTAATACTTTTATCATTACCTATAACACGGTCTATAACGAATTGCAGCTGTGTTTGCACACATTAATAATAATAATATACGGCTTTAACGTCGTGTGCATAAAATGTATTTACGATTTTTTTTTTTTTTTTATCACGTACTACCTATTGTTCTTTGACATGTGTTTTTATTCTGTATTTCTAAAAAAACAGTTGAATTTACAAAAATTTTACACGGTTTTACTATTTAATAAACCGCCAACGATCGAAATAATATTAACATGTAACGGTCAAATTCAATCTGGACGATCGAAATCTCGAATTACGAATGTCACAAATTTGTTGCCTGAAAATGGCATTCAAAATAGTACAGTTCTTGCCCGTTTCTTAGTCGTGGCGATCAAATGAAGAATTTCATGGATTGCATATTATAATAACGGATATTATAGTAATTATTGTAACATTTAATTTATGACTGGGATGTTTACTATACACAAATAATCTACAAACTTTTTATTTAAACCGGAAGAATGTTGATAACTCGAAGAGACAAAATTAATTGGACTTTATAAAAACTTTAAGACTCTTGGCAGCAGAAATTGTCCTTTTTACACACTTTATTATTGCTGGCAAAAAATGAATAGCAAAGAATATTTTTATTAATTAATATTGTTGAACATTTTCGTAGGTTAGGTTAAACGTTATAAATGAAAATATATGCTGTGATAATTACTTACTATGCGTTTACGTATATTGTTTCTCAGCACAATATAATTTATACGTACATATAAATAATCAAAGTTTAAACTGCAAACAAACAAATAATTATTTATAACTTTAAGGTAAATAATTTCATGACCCTTGTTTAATTGACCATAACAGAGATTGTTTTTAATTAAATTTGAAATAATTATATCCAAAACAGTGTATGATACATAATGATAAAATATGAATGAAAGACGAAAGTATTAATTGATTCATTTTATTTAGAAACTGCCAATTTCATATGTTTGAGAATTATGTTTCAAGAATATATGACTATTGTTTTTGAACAGTYTGAATTTAAGATAAGTGGAGGAGAATTCTGGTTATTTTTTGAGTTTTTCTACAATTTTTAATAATATAAAACATGCAATATTTCTTTCACTGTAATTTATAGTACATAATAATGTATTTATGCACCTACCAAAAATATGCTTAGTGATGTTTTAACGATTTCCTGTTTGAATTAAGTTGATGTTTTTATTTAAAATCTTTTTTAATGTTAAAAAAATCTATTTTTACAATTTTATCTTTATTAATTATACACATTTAGATTCAGGATAAAAGTAGAGGTAGTTATTTTCAGTTGTTTTTAAAATAATCATTTTTTTCTCAAAATTCTTGATTTTAATATTTATTTTTTTTCATATAAATATTACGAGTCATTAATAAATATGCTTCATTGCTTCATAATAACAAAAACTGCGATTATACGGTCGTAAATATTACAATACTGTTAATTTATCTTAAGTCAATCTGTAAAGCAGTTGGTTGACTTTCAACGCTTAGTGCTGTTATTATTTAAAGTTGAACTATACGAATTTCGTATTTAATTAATTGCATGCAAGTACTCATCAATCGTGTTTTACACACACGAAATTCGTTGATGTCATCGTTACCGATTTGGCGTTTTTTGAAATTTTTTTTTATTAAAACCAATTCATAAAATACAGTAACTATTAATATATAATAGTTTTGATCTATTTGGGTTATATATTGAAAAATATATCGTTAAAATCTTAATCTCTATGTCATGTACTGACCTGACAAAACACTACATAATACTTCTGAATGCAAACACTGAAATACAATATAATAGTAAGTATGTGTATAATATGCGTATAATAATAAAGCGTGAATGGGTTTTAACGACTAAATTTAAAATCCCCATTTATGTCTGAATTGACGTGTAATTTACTATTTTCCTTTGAATAACTTATATCTAATATCTATACACCCATATGTATATTATATAAAAACAAAACCCTCTTCTCAGAATATATATTTTTTTTATCATTTTTAATAATTATTCAAAATCGATCATGAATATTTTATTTATTAGCGTTTATTGGATAAAATTTGTATAGATTCCGGTTTCTTTCATCTAAGAAAAACATAAATAAACTAAAATAATATTTATATAAATACTGGAGAGGATATCTTATAGGTCATTAATAGGTCATATTATGTCGAATATATGGTGATATCCATTGTAGAATCACTTTACACTTAGTGACCATTAAATCTGATACGATTGTCATTACAACGGTCTTTGTAATAATTATTTATATTTTATCTTATTTATTTTCATATTGTATTTTTCATTAATTATTTATTCTTGAATCATATTTGTCATTTTGTTGTTTATAATTAATAATAAATAATAATTATACTGTATAAACTATACAGATGTTCATACTAATAATAAAGCAGGTACTTACTACACATTAATTAATGACAGATTAGGATTTATAGCACATCATTACAGTATACAAAAACGTCTTTAATATTATGTTTAATATAAATTGAAAAACTTCGTTGATAGGTATTCAGTAATCAAAATTATTAGCAAAGTTTATAATTTAAATATATTTTGATTATAATTATACGGACTACTTCAAATTAGAAAAAAAAATATATTATAACATATATATATATGTATACATTTTATATTTTTATTCATATAAATTTAAAAAGCATGATTCCAACTCTTTTACCAATCGAAATTTGAGTGATATACGTTTACTTAAAAATTCTTAACACCAGAATTTGAATAAATTCACGACTTCTAAGAAAAAATTATGAATCATTATGTACTTATAAATTATAAAAATACTAATTAAATAATATTATTATAGTAATCAAAATCTAGTGTTGTTCGGCATTTTGACGAAATACGCGATTTTGTCTAATGGTATCTTATAGTTGTGTATMCACCTGGACCCCTTTCTCAAGCTGCCTTCGATCCCATCTTTCCACACACCAGCGGGCAGATATACCTCGCGTTCCGTGGCTCCTGGTCGCAGAATTGGCGCCACGATGACTTCTTCGCCTATGGAGAACTCGTCTTTCACGATGTAGCATGTCGTGTCCGATGGGTCCAACATCCACAGCGGTCGTATCAAGGGTACTGCTGTTTCCAGAGCTTCTTGGACGTACCGCTTCAGTAACGGATTGATCTGCGAACAAAATCAAATGGACATAATATTATTAATATAATATAATATTTTGGTTATACATGGCAGTGGCGCCAAAATATATATTTACCTATGACAGCTGTCATAGATGATTTTAGTAGGTAGGAGGGTTACGTTTGTCATTTTAAATATATTACGATATGGATAATTGCATGTATTAGATATTACTATCAATTGTAAACTAAAAGTTGATAATATTTCATAAAAACTATAAGGTAAGGTAATTATAAGAAATAGGTGGGTGTCAAAATTTTATGTGGAGGTGTCTGATGTCATAGGTAAAATTTTGGACTTTGGCGCCACTGATACATGGCAAGTTCGATCGATTTGAATTTTAAACAATAAACATCTGGGGRGAATGAGGAGGGAAGAATAGTCGTTCTGAAACATAATATGAACTACAAGCTACAACTATGTTTTCTTCATGCCTACAATATTATCGCACGACACGATGCAGGAGTATACACACCTATATTTTACGACGCGCCCACAATCGAATTATTATCATCATCACCGTAAATATACTAATATTTATTCCTGAAGTTTGTGTACGTAATTGAATAAAATGCAAGGCATAAGACCATAATAACGTTACAACGCTATCGACGACGACGTTAGGGTTGATAGGATTACGGACGAGCAGTGATCAAAAACTTTTGCAAGTGCGTACGTGTATAATACGATGCTGGTTGTATCCATTAGCAGTGTGTGTTCGAATTGCAGTCATGAGGCTTCGGTGAAATTGTAGATTATTGGCCGTTACCAACCGAAGTGGCAAGACTTTTATAACTACGACGTGACTGCCGATGATGTGGAACTTTTCACAACGTTTGTTTTGAATTTGCCGCTTTTATCATATTCACTCTACTCTTAAGCTTCCGCTAAGACGTGGCATGTACATATCGTGCACAAATAATCGAATTTAATATCTTGCACTAGTGTTATGATAAAAACTTTGGAAACAAAGTGCTCGGTAGCGAGTTAAAATGACCATAAAAAACAGCTATAAATTATTTAACTACCGAACAAAATGGGTCTTGGCTGGATTTCAAAAAATACATTTTCCACAGTTRTTAGTTATATCGTATGATAGGGGGTTTGAAATGAAACCCTCTGACAGTAAAAACCACTTACTGTTTGCTGTCGAAGCGACGTCAAGTTTTTCGTCAACTGGAGTACTTGCGGGTCACAATCGCTCGGCAGCCTCGCATATCTAATCACCGGTAAGAACGTAGCCAACTGCATCCATCTCATCACCAACTCTCGACTCTCGTTATAGTTTTGTCCACGTTGCTTGCATTCCTTCAGTGATTGAGTCTCCAAGAGTTCTACCGATGGATTATCTGAATAAAATGAAAATTAAATACGTGCTTGAAGTTACATGGTTAGGGGCTTGTTACCTGGAGGAATCAGAGCGTGCAGCGAAACGTTACCGACTTGAAAGTCTCCGCCGACAGGTCCAGGCAGCAGGAATGGATACCCAACTATTCCGTATGTAAGCATTGTCGGTATGATCACCTGGAGTGAGTCCCAAGTAGAGGCTAATGACAGTAACGACACGAAAATTGGAGCCGGCGGCCGACTGATGGCCGAAGAGACGCCGAACACGTTCACGCTGTCTGAAACGGTCTGCGTGAATAGAGATTTGTAGTAGTCGGGATTCGTTAGGTTCTCGGCAAACAAGTAGTGGCGGGGTAAGTCATAAGCAGATCCTGAGTTTGAAAAGTAAAGGAAAAAATCAGAAAAGTTATTCTCACGTTGTACGTTATTCAAAATTTTTGGAAATTAGGTTCCTGTGTCTAACAACAGTACCAACCCATGTCCAAGTAGAAAGCGTCAAATTGATATCTTTCAACGAGGTCTTTCAACTGCTGCTGTAACCATGGTCCACAGTTTTTGTTGGTTATATCCAACATTCCAGCACTTTGCACAGTTTTATATCTGGTCAGAGCAGGCACGTCTCGTTCGTTTCCAATTTGTCTGACCTGAATAAATACGGATCACAATCATGGCGATTATAATATTTTTATTATTAATATGTATTGTAGCCACAAGTTATTTCACTTTTATAGATGCTTACGAGAATACCCTCTCTGACGGCTTTTGCAAAATTTCTTGATTCGGTGCTTATGAATGGTTGTATGGTGACTACAATGCGAAAACCTCTTCTGTGGATTATATTGATCGTCTCTTTCATGGTTGGAAATCTTTTTTGGTCCAGTGAAAAATCACCCATTTCCGCTTGCCAGAATTCATTTAGCAAGACGTGTCCTAAAAATTACAACAATAACACGAATGAACTAAAAAAATTTTAAAATAAAATGATGCAAATAACCAATGGTATTTTAGATTCTGAACGAAGTGATGAACATTCAATATATTGATTTTACAAWGATGTTTGTTTTTTTAGATTCTGAACGAAGTGATGGATGTATTGATTTTACAATGATGTGTGTGTGTTTTTTTTTGTGTCTGTGTACAGCAAAACTAGTCGAAATAATGTTTCAATTTCAAACTTTGGGGGTGGTTTCCGATGGAAAAGTGAATATCATTGGTGCATTATAAAGCTCAAAAGTAAACATTTTCCAAAAGTTTTCAAAAAAAAACGAGAAAAACAAAAAAAAAAATGCCAGAAAAACGAAATTTTACGCAAAACCAGTTTTCGACCAAATCAATTTTTTTATATGGTTGTAATTCAAAAACTAATTACTGTAAATACTTAAAATGTGTACCAAATGTTTATGATAGTGTTATCTATGTACAGTTTAATTTTCAAAAAAGTTTGACTTTTGTTGAGTTATTTATAGACCACTGAAATTTTTGATTTTTATGAGAATTTTTTTTTGAAGTGCCGGTAAAAAAATTTTGGATAGCCAAAAAAACTTGAAAATTTAATACAAGGTTCCTTATGAGTTCTTCTTATTTAAAAAAATTAAAAATCGTTATTTACAATTTTTTTTATAAGCGTTTATAGTTCAAATTTTTACGAAATCTGTCGAAAACGCGAAAATTTGCAAGTAATTTTGAAGTTGAAA